AAATATAGTGTTTAAAAAATGTCTACATCATTTTGTAAATTCACAAAATGGGGCACCATTTGAAGGGACTGAGTATACTTGCAGGTACTTTTATTAATCACATGGGAAGCCTGGGTCACCTTCTGGGTGGGGTGTGCATGTTCTTCCCATGGCTGCATGGGTTTCTCTGGGTTGCCTGGTTTCCTCCCGCAGCCCAGAGACGTGCTGGCTGGGTTATGGGAAGACTCTGAGTGGCCCGTGTGTGTGTCCTGCAACGGACTTATGACCTGTACAGGGGTGTGACCCATGCTTTGGAATTGACTCCTGGTATCATGGCCCTTCAAAGGCATTAGTGCCTTAGTCATCATGGGATTACTGTGATTTATACTAGTAGTACTAATTACAGCCTCATTAGTAGTAATAGTGGCAGCAGTACTAGTGTTCTTCTGACGTTGTGATGACATTTTTCTCTATTAAAATGCTTATCAATTTCTTGTTATACATAAAGTGACCAGACATTGAAATTTTTAACAACCTGTTCTATCTTAACATTCCACGTATACTGCACTTTCACTGCACTGTCAAAAGGTTGTTTGACATTGTAGAACTCACATTATAAGTCCCTCTTTCTTTGAAACATCTCTTTAAGTCTGTTTAAAAATTACTTTCTCCTGGAAAACCTCCGAGACACACCTTGGCTGGTGAGTACACAGTATGGCGCAACAATTTTGCTATTTTGTTGATTTGATAAAGAATCGCTTCATCTGAAAAATAAAGGTTTTCCAATCGTTTAAAACAATGAAAGCTTTTATAGTAGCTGATTACTATTGCCATTTGTTAATAATCTGAAAAATTACTGTGTTTAAAAACAATAACAATAAAATATATATCAAGGGCAAAGAGGTAGTCAGTGCATAATATGCAATACTTCAACATGCCAAGTGTAATTCAAATATAACAGCAGGGGAACTTGGATTGCTCTTTAAACCAAGAACATGAGCACAAAAACACCACAATGCCAGTATGTCATACACTAAATAGTGTTAAATTAGGCCCTGTATACTGTTGTTTGAGACTACATTCATCTTACTCAACGTTGGTCTGTTTCTTACAAATTTGGCAGTAAAAGCTTCCACATGCCAAGTTTCTGCTGGGGAAAAAGTTCAGGTTATCAGCAGAAGTTTGCATGCCACGTCTTTAATCAGTCTGCAGCTAATTAGCAGCTTCTACAAAATGAGGCCATAAGTCATTAATCATAGGAGCCACGAGCAGTCAACTCCAAGCAAGACATTTCAAGACAAAAGTTTTCTTTCCACGGCAGGTTTCAAAACAGCCAAGGAATGGCTTTCATGGTCAATAGTGTGTAAATTATGGATCTGCCTAGCTCTGACAGACAAGGTTCCACTGTTTAGTTCCCTCTTTCCTGAGATTTTCTGAACGAAGAATTTTAAAAAAAAATTAAACATAACACATACAAGATAAATATACATGTTACAGCTATAATAAGTGCTGTAGCAAGTTAAATATGCAACTGCATTAAGTTGTGCGCTTAAGTTGAAGCAGGCTCTGTTTTTGACTACACTACTTGGTTCATTAGAACTGGAAGAGAATGAGACGTGCACAGCAGAGATATAAAGAAGAGCCCAGAGATGAAGACCGAATCAGAAGCAGGTCAAACATTTTAGAGCCAGCTATACCGTGGTGGATAAAATTAAGGGCTGATAAAGAAAAGGAAGGCTTGGTGTTGATCGTGCAGTTTTAATGATTTGAAAAACCAGTTCTTTCAGGATGTTTCAGTAGTGTAAGAAAAAATAAACATAGTGCAGTAAACTTGCTGCTCTTCAGAAACCTGAGGTGTGTTGAGGTCAGAATAGAATGTTAATTTCGGGAGTCTTCACAAACCCTCAATTGAAGGTCCATTCTTATTCCTTTAGTCGTAACTTGCTCTATAATAGCAATGTCTACAGCAGTCCCCATTGAGGCGAGCTGTTCCAAAAACTAATGTAAT